AATGGATGTATCTTTTGGTTTATGTAAGAAAAGATCCTTCTTGCTTGATTAGCTATTTAATGATCTTGCAGTTAAAGGCATTTACTTGAAATGCTTTACATTTAGTTTTTTCCTCAAGAGTAGAACTGTTCTGTCCTGACACTGTTGCTGTCTACAACTCAGAGTCGATGAAATTTAATCCTCCATGAAGATGAAGAGTACCAATGGCTAGATGGTAAGAACCCGTGGCCTAGAGATTTTGAACGTATTTTGGAATTAGGTTTATGTAGGAGCAATCATCTAGAAGGATAGTCGATTGGAGTTTGAACTGATAGAGAGGGAGAGAGGAGACAGATTAATATTAATGTGATTAACGAATTTATTGTTGCATTGTTTGAGAATATTGTTATCGTTTTATTCTCGTATGATCGTATTTGCAGTTGTTAAACTTTTAATATCAGATTTTGTGAAATAATTTTGGATAAGTACTTGCAGAGTATATGATTTTGAGTATGAACAGTGCTTGCGGACAGTATTAAATAAGAAAGACAAATCTAAAATCTTGTTCATAGTACTCACTATTCTCACCTTGCTTATTTCTAACTCTTTTTCATGTAGTAGAATTACTCTAGAGCTAAGGAAAGCAAAAGATTCTTTAAAATTTTATATCACAGCTCATTAAGTTAATTCTTCAACCCCGGCTGTTATTCTGTAGCTTCATTCACTTCTGCGTGTTTTCAAATGTTGTTTAAAAAGTTCTGCTTCATTTTCTTTTTATTTATTTTTTTCTATTTTCTACTCCTCATTTTTGCAGTCAACATACTCTCTTAGGTTGAATGTACTCTGTATTCATAACCTTTGTTTTTGGTAACTAAACCCCTGTTTGACAATCATTCTTTCAAAAGAATGAGTTTTTGAATAGTAATTTTTTTGAGAATGTGTAATTCTAAAGTAGGAAAAGTTTTGGGAATTACGTGAAGAATATTTTATCATGAGAATGTGTGGTTGAAAATGAGTATGTGAAGAAAAGAGTTTTGAAAGAATTGTTGTCAAACATAGGCTAAATATCCCCATCTTGCTTCTTTTTCCGTCTTGTGTGTGCTTGCCTTATCATGTTATATTACATTTATGGTATGATAATAGTAATGTATTAAAATATATATTGTGTTGTGATCTAATAACTGCTATTCATTTGTATTGCATCTTCGATATGTAATATTCAAACCCGTCAAATGACATTGTCTATCTTGCAGTCAGTATACTTTCAACTCGTTATTAAGTTTTCTGTGATAGTAACGAGAGAAAATGTTATTTTGCTCTTGTTTTTATGCAATACATATATGCAGTTCCGTTAGTTTGGCATACAGATTGTCAAGATCTAGCACTAGAACTACACAAATTGTTGTTCAAGTCGGGTATATTTCTATCGAGTAACATTGAAGTTATTCTTTTCTACATAAATAGACGATATTAACTATTTATGCATATTCTTGCTGCTGCTGCTGTGATTGCTGCTCCTATGTAGTTGCGTACGACGCATTGCTATTATAGTAACGCCAAGCACTGTCGATATGACGTCACTATTGTGAAGGCGTCGAGCAATAGTCGACGTCGCCCAAAGGATATTAGGGTTTATAGGTGGAGTATTTGGGGACGGGGGCCTCATATGAAATTTGTGAAATTTTAGGCCTCGGCTACAATTACGATGAGAGGGGTCAAGTTGCAATCTTATAACAAAGGACCTGTCTTGCAAATTTTAAAATTGAAGGACTTGTTTTTATTTTTAAAATTGAGGTCAAAATGCAATTTCAAAATAGTTTTGAATTTAATTATTAATGAAATTTGAATTTCAAAAGGGTTTGACCCAAATTTAAATTTTATTTAAAATTAACGATTTTTATGTTACCGTTAAAATTGAATTTTAACTTAAATATTAAACTTTGACTCTAAGACCCTATTTGGTCCACATTATTTTTTTATTATCATTATTCTACTCATTTTTAACCATAGATTTTTCAATAAAATAATATTTTTCATCACATCAATAATTTTCTTTCTTTTTCAACCACATATTCCCTATCACATTAACAGTAAAAATACATTCTTACCTTCAAAATGTGCACCAAACGGGGGCTAAATTGAATTTTATTTTATTTAGAAGTTTTATCATAAATTAAAATATTAATTCAATAGAAATTTAAGTTGCACTCTAATTTGATATTTAATTAGAATTTGATTTTAATTAATCATCCACCATAATATATTCCAGAAGTTAGAGTTGGACTCTAATTTAAAAATTTAATTAGAATTTGATTTTAATTAAATTGTCTTGTCCTAAAAACTTTCTTAGAATTGAAGTTGGAGTCTAATTTGGTATTTAATTAAAATTTGATTTTAATTAAATAATTTCGTCATATCTTTTTGGAATTAGAGTTGGACTCTAATTTAATATTTAATTAGAATTTGATTTTGATTAAATATTTTCGTCTTATAATTGTGGAATCAGCGTTGGACTCTAGTTCAATATTTAATTAAAATTTGATTTTAATTAATTAAACTCCCTAATTAAATTAATTAATTAATTTTTTAATAGTTCCAATCCATTTGTTTAAGTAAGTTTAAACGACATTAATTGTTAGAAACTTGAAACATATATGAATATAATATTAGATATTATATGGAAAAGTATTTATATGATAAATGTTTTATTAATTGATGATTATGGACTTAATAATGTGGATGTGTTGAATGGTTAGTTTTATTTTTTTTTATTTTATGGGTGTGCGGACTCTTATTTATTTTGGACTTACGAATTCGTTGTAATTTTATGGACCACCTGCATGTCCAATTATTTAGGCATGCNNNNTATATATATATATATATATTACAATGAGACATTTGCATGCAAAGCCTCTCGTTAAAATATTAAGTCATATTTATATTGGTCTTCCATCGTTATAGTGAAAAATCAAAGTTCTCAATCGATCTTAGTTTGTTGAGTACACTTAAGGCTAGTTTATTAGGGATATATTTAACACTATAAGTTATTAGATATTTCTAAATAATGAGTTTGACTTAAATTAAAATTTATCTTTTGTTAAATACATTCAAGGAGATAAATTTTGAGGGCATGTTAAGCTAACACATAAGATGTGTGATGACAAAGAGTTGTCCATTTAATGATTTCGAAGTTGTATGGAGATACAATTGATAATAGTATCTACCCAAATGTTTTATTAAGGCATGTTGAGTACACTCAATATTTTAATATTACAGATGGGATCCCAGTCCACTGGAAGTCAAGTATGGATTCCATAAATTTATAATTTATGTGAAAAAGTCATAAATTTAAGTTAAATAGTGGGAGTATAATTAATTTAATAAAAAACCATGTTAAATTAATTGATGCATTCTATATATTATTCTTTTACTTTTCGTTATTAGCATTTATTGGATCATGAGTAACCATGTGTATTTGAAAGGAATACTAGATGCCAACAACCAAACCAGATTTTGTTAATTGGCACCACAATTTGAGAATTGTTCTCAACAATGAGAAAATTGTTTATGTTTTTGAGTAAGCTTTTCTAGAGACATCTGCTGATAACTCGACAAAGGAAGATGTGACTGCTATAATAAATACAGTGATAATGATAATACTGGAACATGCATGATGGGTGCAACTATGTCATCTGAATTACAAAAGCAACATGAGAGTATAGATGCTAACACATGATTTTTTATCTCAAGTTGTTGAATGATGAACAATCACATATGAAAAAAATATGAGATTTCATAGCAACTAAACCAATGCATAATGGCAGAAGAATCTACAGTCAATGCTCGTGTACTCAAGATGTTGACTACATTGAGAAGTGTATCAATTGAGCTCAGTCATGAACCATGAATTTAGAGACTTGGTTCTACAATCTCTGTCAGAGAGTTATTCATGACTAATTATGAATTAACATGAATAAACTCGAATGAACACTCATTGAGTTGTTGAACATGCTTAAGACTGTTAAACTTAATATCTAAATTTGTAGTTGACAAATCTTAGTCATAGATTCCTTTAGGAAAGTCTAAATGATACTTTAGGAAAGCAATTAAGATGGCTAAGACAGTCAAAGCAAATAAGACAATACCAAATCTAATGACCATTATTATCATTTTCGAATGATAGGTCATTGGAAAAGAAACTACAAGACTTACTTCTACTGCATTAACTTCTTGGGTATTTGATAATAGATATGAATCTCATATTTATATAAATATACAGAAACTAAATAGAAGTAGATTATTGCAGAAGGGAGAAGTTGACTTGCACGTTGAAAATGAGCAAACGTTGCTACATTCACTACAAGAAAAATGGGCTTTTGCAACACTTAAAAGACAACATTCATTCATTAAATGTTGCTAAAGGGGGTCTATTGCAACGTTTGGAAACGTTGCAAAAAATTTCACTTTTAGCAACGTTTTTTTAACGTTGCGAAAAGTCTCACTTTTAGCAACGTTTAAAAAACGTTGCGAAAAATAACTTATTGCAACGTTTTTTAAACGTTGTAAAAAGTGACATTTCGCAACGTTTTATAAACGTTGTTAAAGATGAGACTTTTCGCAACGTTGAAAAAACGTTGCTGAAGGTGAGATTTTCGTTTTTTGCAACGTTTAAAAAAACGTTGCAATACATTATTTTTCCAAACGTTTTTTAAACGTTGCTAAAAGTGAACGTTAAAAAAACGTTGTGAAAAGAGAAGCCATTATTTGGCCCAATCAATGTTAGCCCTAATCTCGTCTCCGCCCCTCTTTTCTCCCTCTTTCGTTAAAATCCACCATTTTCTTCCGCTAAATCCCCACCTAAGCATCTCCAGCCGACTGGCTCTGCACGTTACACTGTCACTGTGTGACTAAGAAATCGAGAAAGAGAAAAATGGTAGGGGGAGGAGTCGAAGAAATGGTCAAGGAGGAGTTTTCCGTGTGGAAGAAGAACACACCATTACTGTACGACCTCATCATCTGCCATGCGCTTAAGTGGCCATCTCTCACCGTCCAATGGCTCCCATCACCCCCCATCCGATAATGGTCCTCATACTATACACAAATTGATACTGGGGACCCATACCTCTGATGAATTTCCGAATTTTCTCATGGTTGCCCATGCCTACGTCCCCCGCCGTGCCTTTGAAATGGAAACCGATAATTCCAACATTCCTAAGGTCAGTAATTGTTTTCTTCAACACACTCATCACTCTATGTTCATTTGTAATAGTGCGTGTAGTATTTTGTTTGGGGCTTACTCGTATCTGCATGCAGTGTTTGATGAAATTACCGAATGAAATGGGGTTTCTTTTTTGTTGAGGTTTTCTTATAGTATTTGCACACCATGTGTTTGATGATATGCTCAACTGAATTTGTTCTTTGATTGCAGTTTGTAGAGAATCAGATATTTCATTGAAATAAAAGTTGCAAACTGAATTGCTTGGTCTAGTGATATTGAAATTCAACCTATTTATACATTGAAATAAAAGTTGCAACTGGATTGGAGGTGTTTGTGGCTGTTTCGTGTATTGTCTTCAGTTCCTCACCCTTCAGCTTCTGCTGGTTCAATTGGTTTCAATATCTAGGATTGTTCTGGTATTAATAGATTGTAGATTTTTTCCATTTGCTAATAAGTTGAAACATATCTTTGATTGACATGTTTGTCAGATTATAGCATGTTTTTTTTGATAAAAACATGAAATTAATTCTTTCTAGATATTGTGCAATATAGTTGATTTCAGTTGATCTTTGGTTGTGGAAACCTGACTATATTGTTGCTTTGGAATCCTTTGGAATAGTGAAGAGTCCTAACTATATTGTTCCTTTAGCCATGTGAAGAGTCCTAAATCCTAAATTCGCAACTTCTCTAAAATCCGACCCGTTTATACTCGTTCACTCTTCAATCTTGATCCAGACAACGAGGCTTCTTCAACAATGATATCATAAATCAGGTAACAATAATGTATACATTTGAAGTTAAAAATTGCTTGAATTTTTTGTTGATTTTTTTTTTTAGTCCATTAGTTACTCTATCTGTTTAATTGATATTTGTTTAATAACGAAAATTTCAATAGGGGACTGGGGCAAGCTTGTCACACCCCATTCCTACAGTATACTAACTTAATGTGGAAATACCGTCAGTGACTTGACCTAGACATCCAAATTCACCACATCTTTTTTTTTTTTTAAATGAAGGCATCTCTGGAAGTATATCCAAAACTAAATATTGTAAAATCATAACCCAACATATTTATCCTGCGATTATAAAAGTATTTACATACTATTTCAAAAGTCATACAGGAGCCCAAAATATAATACAACTGGAGTCCACAAAATAACCCTACAGGTCGTCATCCATATACATAAAACTTCGGAATCCCATAAGAGCTCCACAGCCAGCCATATCTCCTAAGAAGTTCCATGCTCACCTACAATGCAAGAACTATATAAGCCAATGCTTAGTAAGCGAGAATCATGCAGGTCATGAGTATGAGTGATAATAATATATGATACCATGCCATTTACTTTCAACAATATGCTAAAGACATATCATGTTCAGATAGTCATCAAAGTCGACTCGAAATAATCTCATTTGAAATATTTCATTGGGCCCTTGACACACCTACTATGCACCGGATAGAGCTCTGTACGATATCACTATCAATAATCAATAATCAAGTGGCCAATCTGACATCTACACCGGTAAGTGGACCATCCTCGTATGATCACTAGAGGCCCATCCCCTAACTGCCCCTATGATCACCCAAGAAGTATCCCACCCAGCAGCGCAAATAATCAGAGTATCACAAAGGCACAATCGAGTGGTCCGCCCTCCCGTGATTACTAAAGGCCCATCTCCTATCCACCTTTGTAATCAACCAGGAAGTATTACCCGTGGTACCAAAACATATCACATAAGCATGCCTCACATGCATCGGTGCCCTAGTAGTGATCAATAAAACATTTTATAAGAAAACCTCAATTTTACAATCAAGTTGTGGATGCTAGATTTTCAACAATGGGTGTATGTCGTGCATGCACATGAAAATGCTCGTGAGTAATATACTCAATGATCATAACCATTAAATGATACACAATAAGCTCCTTATCAAAGTTATGTAAATATTCCAACACTACCATACTATATTCTTGTATCGTAGTTGCAAATGGATTTTCACTCACCTTTTTGTTCTTGTGTGTGTGAGCTTCTACAAGGTGTAAATCAATTCTCTTTCCCACTTAAAGTCAGCAAATCACCTGTATTACCATTTAATATTAAACACAATCCTAAATTTGATAATCGAAATGCACACACAATCCTGTGCTACGTCCATTCATGCCAAAATACTTTAGATGACATTAACAATTCAAGTTATCGATTGCATTACAAACTAGTCCCAAAAATACACTATTTCTTGGGTCCAATTACGAACGTCAACGTCATTCAATAGTTGTTTAACCACCTAGAAATCCTTAAAATGTATTTTTCATACCTAAGATACAACTAATGGACATGTAAAGGTTGAATCTAAGCTAAATACACAAATGGCCAGAATCTGTTTTCAGCTTTCCACTGCTGTCCAAGTATTTTTCCAATCCTTTTTCACCCCCTTAACATTATCCAAAACTTCCCAAATTTTTACCACATTTATATAACATGTAGATAAAGGTAATCATGCCATAGATTAGTCACAAATGAAGGATTTACAGCTTTGAAATCATTCCTTTTTTAAACACCAAATCAAACATCTTTCTCCTCATGACTGTTTTGAGTTTCACTTGAACAAGACTTTCAAAAATTGGATTCCAACGTATTAAAAATCATTTCTATACTTCTAAGTCATGTATAAAAACATTTATATCAAAAAATATAAGTTATACCTAAGGGATTACTTAAAACAAAAGGTTAAACCCTTCAAATCTATCAATCCCCCATTCTGCCCAGGTTATGTTCTCTCAGATTCTCCTAATTAATTGCCCCTATCTTTGCCATCATAAAACATGAAAACACCCCCAACATGATCTCAATCAAGTACAGAGATTCAAGAGGTTATAAAACTCTCAAAAACAATAAAGATATACCTCAAAACAGTAAACAACTTCAGCTGTCCAGAAATTCCAGCTTTCTGTTTTCTAACTCTCTTTGGCTCTCTTGCTTTCTTTTTCACTTGGGTTCATTTGGGGATAACTTGATGGGATAAAATACCTGTGAGTTTCCTCAAATTTTGAATCACACTTTCATTACACTTATCCCTGAAACTGAAAATCCCCAGAAGGTCAAGGATTTCAGGCCTATAAGTCTGTGTAATGTCATGTACAAATCGATTTCTAAAGTTGTGGCTAATCGAATAAAAGTAGTGCTTCATATGGTGATCTCAGAAACACAGTCCACTTTTCATAAAGGAAAGCTCATCACAGATAATGTACTTGTGGCCTACGAAATGCTCCATTTCTTGAGGAGAAAAAAGAAAGGTAAGAAGGGCTTCATGTCTCTTAAATTGGACATGAGCAAGGCATATGACAGAGTTGAATGGCCCTTTCTACAGGCGGTTATGCACAAGTTGGGCTTCCATGAAAAGATTATTCAACTAGCAATGAAATGTGTTACCACTTCCTCTTTCTTAGTCCTTATGAATGGCAACCCACTGGTCACATAATCCCCTATCGGGGTCTACGGTAAGGAGACCCTATTTTTCCTTATCTATTTCTTCTATGCACTGAAGGATTAATTAGTCTAATGAATGAGGCGGAGAGAACCAAGAGGGTGACAGGGTTTCAAGTGTGTAGAAGAGCTCCACGAGTGAATCATATTCTCTTTGCGGATGATAGCTTGATCTTTTGTGAAGCTAATGAGGAAACCATGATTCGGCTCCAAACTATCCTTAGTACTTATAAACTGCTTCAGGGCAACAGTTGAACAGGGAAAAAACATCAATGGTATTTAGTACTAATGTACCACCGGAAAAATAGCGATCAATAATGACTTTATGGAATGCTCCCCAAGTACAACAATATGAAATATACCTTAGTCTACTACTGATGGTGGGTAGATCCAAAGCATGAGCCTTCTCTGAAATTAAACACAAGGTCTGGCAGAAGTTGCAAGGTTGGAAGCATAACTTATTCTCCCAAGGAGGAAGAGAAGTCCTCCTTAAATCAGTGGCCTTGGCGATCCCCTCCTATGCTATGAGCTGCTTCAAACTACCATCTATGTTATGTGCTGATATTGAAAGAATGATGGCTCGATTCTGGTGGGGCAAAAGAAATGAGGAAAGGAAAATTCATTGGCAATCCTAGAAAAATATGTGTAGATCAAAATCCATGGGTGGCATGGGCTTCAAGGAACTTAAGATTTTCAACTTGGCTATGCTTGGAAAATAAGCCTGGAGACTTCTGAAACACAAGGACAGTTTACTTCACAAGATATATTCGTCTCGTTACTTTCCTGATGGCAATGTGTTGAAGGCCTCAACAAGGGAGAATCCCTCTTATACTTGACTTGGAATTTGGGAGGCCAAAAACCTTTTAATGCAAAGAGGAAGATGGGTTGTGGGAAATGGAAAAACTATCGACGTCTTGAAAGACAAATGGATCCCTGGAATAATTTATTTGTACAGGGAACTAGGGGCCCAACCTGCAACAATATTCTCATCAGCAAGCTGATTGTCCAGTGTCATCACTACTTGATCCTCAATTAATGTGGTGGGACTTGGCAAAGCTTAGAGCTCTATTCAACCTAAAAATTATCAAGGCTATTCTGAAACTACATCCCAGCCACTTGGGGAAAGAGGATTGTTGGGTGTGGAAGTATGAAAAATCTGGAATTTATACTGTCAGTAGTGCTTATAACTTCTTCAGAACTTGCCTCACTCCTGAACGTGGTAGTTCCTCAGACATTTCGGAGAAAAAGAAATTCTGGGATACCATGTGGTGGCTTAAGATCCCTCAGAAAGTTAAGATCTTTGCCTGGAGAGCTTGTCAAGAAATTTTACTTTCAAAGCAGAACCTAGCTCGAAGAAATATTCATGTGAATCCTCAGTGCTATTTCTGTGACTACCAGATAGAGGATATCTGCCATGTTTTACTTCATTGCCCCTCTATTCATGGTGTCTTAACAAAACAATTCCTAATATTACAGAATAAGACAATTCATGGAGGCTTCATACAGGCTGCTATCGCAATCTTGACTAATGTTTCAACAGAGACCCTCTCATAATTTCTGCTCATTACTTGGAGTTTCTAGTACCGCCGTAACAAGATAGTTCATGACCAGGTTCATCTACCACTACAACAGGTAATCTCTACAGCTCTCGCCAACAAACCAGCTATTGTATCAGGCCATCCTCTCCATCATGCTCCTGGTGTTCTATCTCGCAAAAACAGGTGATCAGCACCACCTCAGAATGCAGTAAAACTCAATGTTGATGGAGCATTATTCTTTGATCTTAACAAGGTTGGACTTGGATTTATCTTACATGACCACGAGGGGGAAATAATTTTGGCTGCTGAAAATACCATTTTGGAACCTGAACACATTGAAGCTGCGGCACTTGTGCGAGGTCTACAACTTTACCTTAACCTCGGGATATCTCAATTCATAGTGGAGAGTGATTGTTTGTTCCTTGTGGATGAAATCAATAAACTAGAACCAACCTCAGCTTCAATCAGGTCCATGGCGGCTGAAATTAAGGACTTGTTAAAGAGATTTCCTCAAAGTAGCCTCCAACATTGCAATAGACTTGGCAACCAAGCAGCTCACTTTTTGGCGCGGCATGCATGGTCTCTTGAAGACATGACCTTATGGTGGCACAGTGCCCCTTTGTTCATTGAAAATGT